GTCATTAGTTTCTGACAATAACAGACAACACGTGTACGTATGCACACAGGCACGCACACACGCATGCCTAGTTCAGTCCCAGGAAGCTTTAGGGACAGAACTGGGATAACAGGATGGGTGGGCCCTTCCACAGCCTAAGCCCAAGAAGTCGCCGAGTCTCGGGCAGCTGGCTTCCGGTCTATGTCGGCCCCGACGGAGCCCTGGGCAGGAAAGGAAAGGCTTTCCCTTCGACCCAGGGGCAGGTGCCCTGAGAGGCAGAGGGCGCGCATCACCCTACCCTGAATGAATGCAGACATCCCGGGTGGGCGTCTGGAGGAACCCGAGAGAGGGGGCCGGGCTGCAGGCACCCGCCCGCCCCCACCCCCCGCGGGGCCTTTCCCACGGAACCGGTGGACATTACCAGAGATTCCTCCCGGTCCTGGATGTTCCTCTCTATTCCCTCAATCCGTTGCAGGAGTTTCTGGAAGAGAAATTCAGAGGCAGAGGATCAAAGCAGGCCTGCCTGTGGCCCCTATCACACTCCATGGTGGGGGAAGTAGAGGCCTGTGGGTGGAAAATGGTCCCTGATTTGCTCTCGCAGCTTTTCAAGGTTCTTTCACAGTTCTGAAATGCGCGAGTCCCTTCACTGTCAGCGGACAAAGGTGGCTAACCTTGGGGCCCTCCCTGCACAGTGGATGGAGGCGGACTTCGCCTCCTCCTAAGGACAAACGATATCGGGCCTCTCTGTGTTGTTTGAAGAGAAAAGCACCTCAAAAGAACCAAAGGGAATTCCTACAACTTCAGTTGCTCCTTACAATTTCTGCAAACCTCTAGAATCGAAGAATCTAAAGGTGAAATAAGCCTTTCCTCTAAAAAATGAAAACAACCTAAAACAAAAACAACAACAACAAAAAACAAAACACACCACACTTTCAAGAACAAAGCTTTCCAGAGTGAACATGAGTCCCGCTGGAGTCTCCAGGCCTGAGGTGCATGAGGTGGGCAAAATGGGGTCAGAGGGCAGAAGTCCCAGGGAGGGTCTTGGCCTCCTTCCGCCTCCTTGGAGCTTTTCTGTCCCCTCAAGTCTCTTCGTGGCCTGTCTCTGTGCTTCGTCCTAGTCCCCCTCCTCTGTTCCAGCTCCAATCCCCTCTGGGGGCCTCAGATGGGTCTGAGGTAGGAGCTGCCTGGAACGATCTGATGAGCTTATGTGGAAGGATTTGTGCTTCTCACTCCAAGAAAATAAGGTCCAGGTAGAAGTGTTGCCGCTCCTGTGGTTGGGGGTTGGGGGTCAAGGGGGTGACCCCAGAAGGCGCCATCCCATCCCTCCTGCCCTCGGACTGAGCTTTGTCTCTCAACCCCCACCATCTTTTCTTTATTCTTGTTTAGAGGAAATTCAAAGAATTATTCTGAGAGGTCCTCAGCTCTCCTCTGGGTGGGTTCAGGGTCCGTGGGTGTCTGAGGCTCGGTATAAACAGGCTGAGCGAGAAGGGGTGGGGACTGCAGGGCCCTCACCTGGGGCATCAGCTCTGGGAACTCCTGTACGTTTTCCTGGGCCTTTTCGTGGGCTTCCTTCAGAACTTTCACGTCTTCTATGACGTTCTGGATCATCTCCACCGCCTGCAGGGCAGAGCATGGGCCGCAGTGAGGCCTGGAGCCTTGGCCATCCCTATAGCCTCCCCACCCGGCTCGGGCCTCCTCTCCCCAGTGGTGGGTGATCATAGGCGCCTCTGGGGCTCACCTGGGGGTCGTCCATCCTGATTTTTGTCACTCCTATTTGAGCCTTCTCGGGCTGCAGCGTGGCCATCCTGGGCAGGGGCGTGGCCATCCCGGGCAGGGGCGTGGCCATCCCAAGCACCGGCGCGGGCATCTTGGCTAGGGGCGTGGCCATCCCAGGCACGGGCGTGGCCGGCTTGGGCGTGGGCGTGGCCGGCTTGGATGTGGGCGTGGCCGCCCCAGGCATTGGCGGGACCACCTCCCCGGCCATCTCATACTCCCTCAGCCACTCCGGGGTGTCTATGCTTAGCGCACCAGTCTGGGCAGTGAAATGCTGTATGTGGGTCACGACGGACTGCACATGGCTCTCCATGGTCCTGACCTGCCGGCTGAGGTCCTGGACCTGCCCGCCCAGGTCCTTCACCTGGCTCTCCAGCGTGTGGACCGGCGTCCTGACTACGCTGCTCCTCCGCCTCTCCTTGGTCACAGCCATCTGCGGGGTGCTGAGCGAGGCCCGCGGGGCCTCAAAGGAGCGGCTCTCCTCGGGCGACAGGGACTGGAAGTCCACCTGGGTGTCCTGCAGGTGAAGGTTCTTGAGCATGGCCACGATGAGCGTGTGCAGAGCCGTGAAGTTGACGGCGCCCACCTCCGGGGTGCCGATGGCCAGGTCGGCCAGCTCCCGGAGGGAGACCTTGGTGGCAGCCATCGCGGGCGGCATCGTGCGCACGCTCAGGAGCGGTCGGCCATGCCCCCCTAACTGCTCGCCGCGCCTCTAGGGCATTTCGGGGCCCCGTGCGGCCCCGGGGTGCCCTGCCCCTAGGCCCCGCCGCGCCGGGCACCAGTCGCAGTCTGCAGCCGGCGTGGAGGACGGAGAGGAGCCGCTTGGCCTTTTTTTCTTCGCGCTCTTGGGTCCCGGAGACGGTGTCCGCCTCCCAGCGGGGTCGGGGCACCGCCGACCCTCCGCCGTCAGCTGGCCACCGTCCGGTTTCCGCTCGAGCCTCCGGCTGCCCTCGCCTCGCGTCCGGTTGCGGCCGGT